GGTGGAATGATTGTCACTGGAGGAATCAAAAGAAGTTGTTGTTTTTTTTGGAGGGGGGGTAAGGACACAGAGGGCTCAACTGTACCTTCCAGCTGCTCTTCCCATACGCGCCTGTGCCTGACTCTGCCTTAGCCTGCCTGCTGAGCCCACCCCTTTCCTCCCTGGGTTGCCCAGAACTGGGTTTCCCTGGCTCAGCAGAAGGAGTTCTTAGAAGGAGCATGTAACATCCTGTTCCCGTTTCTGTGCTGAGGTTGGGTAAGGCTGAGTGAAGAATGAGGCTTAGGGAAGACAATGAAGGCCCGTAAAGAATCCAGGGCTCAGGGTAAAGACTTGGAGCTGCTAGCTCCACTTTCTGGTTGTGATAGCTGCTTTCCGTGGGCCTTAGCTTTATCATCTGTAAAATGGGCAGGGGTATGCCTGTCTAGAACAGATAGGGCTCAAAGCCAGGCTTCCCAGCGGGGAAACTTTGAATCGTAGTTTCCTCTGTTTTCAGTTTTTTTTTTTTTTTTTTCTTCAGTGCTGAGGATTGAACCTAGGGCCTTGTGCATGGTAGCCAAGTACCCTGCCCCTGAACTACAGTTGAGCCCTTTCTTGTGTTGTGTTAATTTTACATTACGTGTGTGGAGGTCAGAAGCAGCCTGCAGGAGTAGTTCTTTCCTTCCACCATGTGGATCTCAGGGATCAAACTCAGGTCCTCAGGCTTGTAGACCTGTAGCCCCCGAACCACCTCACTGGCTCCCTTCTTTTCTGTTTCTAAAGATTCATTTATTATGTATGTCTGCACACCAGAAGGGGGCACCAGCTCTCATTACAGATGGTTGGGAGCCACCATGTGGTTGCTGGGACTTGAACTCAGGACCTCTGGAAAAGCAGCCAATGCTCTTAACCTCTGAGCCATCTCCCAGCCGCACCCCACCCCCCACCCCTGTGTGCCTTTTTTTATTTTTCATTTTGAGACAGGGTCTTGCAGGTAGCTGAGGCCGTTCTTGAACTCCCGACCTCCCTGTCTTAGCCTTCACACTAGCTGTGATTTCAGATGTGATCTGTAATCACTATCTGGCTTAGACATGAGTTGCTGAAAGTGAAACGACCATGCACCTTATAATGCCACCAAGAATTTGGGTTTTGCGACGTGTGGTATATAGTAGCCATGGGCTGCACCTCTAATAGGTGTTACCCTGTGCATTAGTCTAATGAAGGAGAACATCCCGTTACGCCCATTATACAGAAGGGGAAGCT